GATGTATTTCCGGAAAATATTTTAACTTCTATAGGGTGGCTCAAAAAAGTGTGAGTGGATCTGGATGACTTTTTTTAAATAGAACACCCTGTATATTATTGCATTTTTGGCTTCCTTTCAGATCACTTTACATAATCCTAAGGTTATGAGTAAATCTATTTCAATTAGTTTCAGAGATATTAAAAAATAAACCAAAAATATATATTTTTCAACCCTTCTTAAAAAAAATATTAAAAATACAGGAACTGTTCTGAAATCAAAACTATATTAGGTATTTACTTTTGATAGGCTGCACTTACTTTGTTATAAATATGATAATCCTAAATTTTGCAGAATGTTCAAAATTCTACACCAAACTTTCTAAAATATAAAACAATTTTTCTTCGTTTTTTTCAATGGAACACCCTGTATATTATTCTATCAATAGAATAGACGGAGAATTAGAAAATGGACATTTTTTGTGTTTAGAGTATTTCAAAATTTTTAACGGTTTCGCAGATATTTGCAGTTTTATATTTCATATGGCATTTTCCACAGTAAATTTTTATCAAAGCCACCCAATGATTTTTCACTCGTATTTTACCATTGAAAGCGCCATATGAAATAATACTGCGTGTATCTGCGAAACCATTGAAAATTTTGAAATACTCTAAATACAGAAAATGTTTATTTTTTAATTCTCCGTTTAATAAAAAAATAATATACGGGGTGTTCCATTTAAAAAAACAAAGAAAAAATATTTTATATTTTAGAAAGTTTGGCGTAGAATATTGAACATCCTGTATGATTTACGATTACCATATTTATAGCAAAGTAAGAACAGACCATCTAAAGTAAATACCTAATATAGTTTTGATTTCAAAACAGTTCTTGTATTTTTAATAATTTTTTTAAGAAGGGCTGAAAAATATACATCTTTGATTTATTTTTTAATATCTCTGATACTATCGAAATGTATTTATTCATATCTTAGGGTTATGTAAAGTGATCTGAAAGGAAGCCAAAGATGCAATAATATACAGGGTGTTCCATTTAAAAAAAAATCATCCAGGTCCACTCACACTTTTTTGAGCCACCCTATAGAAGTTAAAATATTTTCCTGAAATACATCCTGGTACATACTTTAGGTTTGCACTTAAACAAAATTCTCCAGTTTTTTATTCTAGGAGCTGCAGATGCCCGACGCACTATTGCCGGACCCTGTAGATATCTAGATAAAGTTTTTTTTCGGTAGATTTGCCCCAAATATCGCACGATTCTGGCACCATCCGTATCCAAACCGATAAAGTTCCTTCACCGCGCCGCAGCACCTTTCACGACGACTTACTTTCCAGCTTATCGCAATTCGTGACTTTGCCTTTCCAGTCACAAGTTTGCTTATCGATGTCAAACGCCAATCCGCTGGGACAAGTGATTTGTTTCAAACCAGATTTCGTACACCTGTACGTCAAAATGTCGCTTAAGATTAATTTTGCTTTGACCAAGGAACGGTGACCATGAATTTGGAGAACATATCATCAATTTAATTTTATCTATTTAGGTTATTTACTCTAAATTATATAGCAATCAAGAAAATTTGTCCAACAAAAAAAATTGTGCGTGCACTATGTGCGCATATTTGAAGTAAACTGTCTGTCCGTCTGAATTCCATTCAGGTAGCTCTATCCACGTGCCGAGTTTGGTCCAATCGACCCATAATTAACAAAAATCCTGATGATTTCGTCTATTAGAGACAGAGGCACGTAGATTAGAGGCATCGGTTCGAAAGGTCGAGGGGTCCATCCTGTAGCCCGTCCCCAATCCGGTGTTTAACCATAATAATTTTTTGTTATTTTTAATATAAAATTCAATTGAAGTGATTAAAAAGTACTCCCTCAATAAAAAAATTATCATAAAAATAAATAAAAAGTACTCCCTCAAATAAATAATAAATCAAATTCTCAATACAAATTTCACTGGCGTAGAAAATTGTGACCTTATTTATCAGCATTTGACTGAATAGTTGACAGAAGTGCAAGCCTCTGAAGAATAATATTATGGCGTGTCTAGTTCTCTGCTACCATATTTACACCATATATCTTAAAATCACGTTAGATTTTTCTATTTTTATTAAGGTCGTTAAAAAATACGTTTTTATGTGTGATTATTCTTTATTACCCCAATATTAAATTCACTTTTATATTTTTTACTACTAGAAATTAAAACTTAAATTTTTATAATTAATAGATTACTACCATTTTTATTGAAGCACTAAACACTACCAAAGTTGTTCAGATATTCGAGGCATTCGATGATTCGAGGTTAGATTTGTATTTTGTGGATTTTGCGATTGGCGTTAAATACTTTGAGTTTTCAATTTTGTTTTATTGTACCCTCTTTATTATTTTTGTAATGAAGGGTGTTAATTGAATGGTGTAAATTTGAAATTCTTGATATTGATTAATTAAAAAAAAAATGGGATGAAATTGAAGTTAAATAAGGGTGTCATAAAATTGTATGAAGATTAATTATTTGCAATAAAAAAACTATGGTTAAACTCCGGATTATGCCGAAATCGACCCACATTTTTCTTCAATATCAAATCGTTAGTCCCACCCAAATGAAAATGTTAATGAAACGTCGAATCGAAATTTACTGGGTGGGACCGTTTGCACTGTTGCTCACATGGACTACCCACCAAATTTGGTCGCGATCGGACGACATCAACTTTAGACATTTCTTATGTCAAAACCAACCGTCACAGTGACACTTGTCGTAGACGGTCACGTTGGTCTTGGTCCAATCTATCGACATACCAAATTTCATTTAAATCGGACGATGTTTTTATTTGATTCATTGATGATGTGGTTTCGTAGTGCACGGAACGTCGTCAAAATATCCACTCAATATCATATACTATATATACAATATATCATCAATATATCATCCTATACTATCAATCAGAATAACACAAAGAGCTCAAACGCATTGACAACCTGGTCGCTGCTGTTATACCATAATATCAACCAAAGACCAAGCCTGGCCGTTGGCTGGTCGCTGCGACCAGTAGTCACTAAAATAATATTATTTTCTGCCGCTTTTCTTCCAAATTAATAATTTTTCAGATGAAATCCCTCAAATACAACGCAAAATTTTCTATAAAATATAGTGTTTTAGTGTTGTTTTTGCACGCGTGCAGAAAAACAAAAGAAATAATATACAGACTAGATCAAATTGGGTCGATTCTAGTAAAAATTCAAAACATTTTTATATGACGAGTTACAATGGTAAAAAAAAAAACACACTAAGGGCTGGCCGAGATGGCCGGTCTTGGGTCGAGATTTCCGTATGTAACAAGGGTACAATGGCGTTTATAATGTAATGAACAAAGAGGGAACAATAAACACGTTGCCAAACATATGAAATAAACCGAGAAACTGTGCACTTTGCTAAGAGACGGGGAAGGGGATATAGCAAATTTATCGCAGTTCACCGGTTGACATAGGTTGACCCAATCTTTACCTCTGTCAGTACCCCAAAGTTCTAGGGAAAGGTGTACATTATGCGTTCAGCTTCATGATTTAATTACGTCTCGTGATACTTTATTTGTCTATTTATTAACGAGTCGTTGTAATTTTCCCTATAGCATGAAAATTTTTAAGTGCAAGTTAGAAACACTTGCGTTTTTGGTAAAAATAAGTGGAATTGGGTTGGTGTTCGACAGTGGTCGTGCTATTAGAACTCTGAATTCAAAAATCGATATCTCAAAATCTATTAGAAATAATTGATTTTAGTGTTTCAAAAACTTTCTTCGCATACAGTATGCAAAAATATTTATAAATAAAAAAGTTACACGATTTCTGAAAACTGCTATGCACTAAAAATAAATAGATGGGTTGTTTAAATTTTAAAATTGAAAAAAAAACAACCTTATCGAATTTTTCTTATGTAAACATAATGTAAATGATCCGATCTTCAAAATAAACAAAGCTTCAATATATAAAGTGGTTCTTAAGTTATGGCGTGTTATGTTCAGTTTTTAAATTATCGCGATTACTGACGTTTTCTCGTTATAAAAAAGTGGCTACCCTAACGATATTCTTATAATTGCATTTCAGACGCTTAGAAACATATCTAATGATTTTATCTAGTTACCTTTCCGAAAAAAAAGTCTTAAAAAAAGCGGTTTGCGATCGTGATTTTACTTTACTTGACAGGGAAAGGCGTACCAGCAACAACGCAACAGCACACAGTCGTATTTCTCTCACTCCGACTTAATAAGATCCCTATGCGATTTACTTCCACACATCTATATACCGACCCAAACATAACAGTTGCCAGCATGGTATATAAAGTTTCTTTTTGATCTGCCCTATATAATCTTTTTTTTTTCTTCCTCTACAATGTGTGAAAATTATACTAATTATCCTGCTGTAACTACCACTAATATATAAAATGCATTATTTAATATTAGAACATTTAATAAGCTCTTGAATAGGAACTTCGCTATTTAGTTAACTCGGATATTTTAACATTTCTGAAAACAGTATAATTTAATTAGTAAAACGTAAAAAATCGTTAGATCTGACAGTCCTGCTGAAACTGGTCGTTCATCTGGACGTACCTATGTACGCAATATATCAATGCAGCGACCAGCCAACGACCAGGTCGTCAGTGCGTTTGAGCTCTAAACGATGATCAATGGATGAGGAAAATTATAGAATGGAGACCAAGACATTATGCATTCAGGAGCAGAGACCGTCGTCCAACCAGATGGCATCACGACTTATATCCACAGTAACTATATGCAAATTGCTGAAGGTAGGGAGTTATGGAAGCAAACCAGGGAGGCCTACGTCAAGCAGTAGACTTTAGTGGCTGGTAATGACGATGATGATATCTACTCGTCTGTTTAAGAGGATCTGTTTTCCATTATGCCAAATAATTTAAAGGTTTTAAAACACAAAATAAAAGTATTTATGGTTTAGGTCATCGTCACCATTCCTTCTGTATCGACTTACTCTCTACTCTATCGCAATTTTTAACGTTCGTTTTCCAATCGCAAGTCTGTCGATCGATGTCGAACGCCAGACCGACCGGACATCGCACTGAAGCCAGCCTAGTGACTCCGTTATTATCGCTATTAGCATCGCACCTGGATTAGGAAAGAAAATAAACATTTAAAAAAAAAATAAAATTATTAAAAATATAAATTCCCCGGCACAAAATTCTGCCACCCTAATATTTTGATTAAGTTTGATGTTTCATAACTTTTAAATTTCTAATCCGATTTTGATGATTATGGTATCAGTTTGTAGACAAATTTGTTGGCATTATTTTTTATTGTTTTAATGGCTAGTATATTTCGGTTAGGTGGCTTTATACTGGGGTAAATCAAATCACCCTGTGGAAAAAATGGGATGGGCATTTTAGATAAAAAATAGTTTGCTGTAATTTTATATGTATTCCTAATATTTCATATTTTGAATTATTATTATCTCTATTCTTTTATAAGCTACACATAAAGTACTAATATTTTTACAATCTTGAATTTGTTGAAAATGAAAGACCAAGAAGTTATTGTTCCATTTGCTCCTTTCATTGGAAATCAGTTTATACCGAGGCTAGTGATTCCCACGAGACCAACGAGACGAGACTTTCATAGTCTTGTCTCGTCTCGCCGATAAAATAAGAAGTCTCGTATCGAGTCTCGTCTCGGAGCCTCCAGTCTCGTCTCTTCTCGCGTCTCGTACGAGAGTCTCGTGAAACTATCGAAATTTCGTCATGCATACACTTGCTCATGCTTGTTCCAGTCCAGTACGGGATATGTATTTATAGTTTGTACAAAATAACCTTGGGATCACGTGACATTTGTAAAGAAACCGGAACATTTTTGTAATTTATCTAATTTTTCTTGTTTATTTTTTATTAACTAATCGATATTTATTAGGCTACAACTAGCATTGGACTACAACTAGCATATTAGCAATTATTAGACGACAACTAGCATATTTATTAGGCTACAACTACTATAAACATTCAGGGTGCGGACTTGTGTAAAAAAAGATTAATCTCAAGTCACGTGTTCCCAAAGTTTGGTTTGGTTTTGTTTTGGTTGGACATAAAAATCATATATGTCATAGTAATACGTAAACACAAAACAAAAACCAAAAACTTAAGTTTTTGTCTTTCACCCAGTCGTTTAGGCATAACAAACATCCTGCAAATTATTAAGGCGATTTCTGTGTTTTCTAATGGTTAACGCAGCACGAGAGAATAACCTTTCCGCCGGGACTGAGGTAGCTGGTATACTCAAGAGATCTCATGCCGTCAAACTTAAAATGGGAAGTTCAGAACTATGAGTCCTCCACCATTGTAATATACCTGTGTCTTTATTACACCGGGGAATTGAATAGTATTTTTGAAGCTCCTGCATCCATTCTCCTTCGGCAGGGGTAGGATTTACTGCGTACAAGGCATCAAAATCAATTACAAAATCCGACTTTTCAGGTCCAGGATTTTCTCGTTCTTGTTGCGCTACCGCTGTTTCTGTCGAACGTTGTCCCTCTAATTGATGAAAATAGACTTTACAAATATCTTGAAATTTCTGAATCGAATTATCTTTTAATTCTTGGCCCCATTTTATCATATCAAACGTTTCTAACTTATGACGTGGATCGAGAATTAAAACTGCAGCATAAATCCAGTTCGTTTAACGATAATGCTTTAGTATTTTGTCTCTCGCAGCCTGAAAACCAACTTCGACAGGGGTTCGATTTGTTTTTCTGTCCCATTCATATATTTTGCTCTCAAGATTATCTATTAGTATTTTGATACATACAACCACCATAGGTAAGTATTTGAAAATTGATTAATAATTTGTGTACTTCTTCTAGCAGTATCCATTCTTCATCTCTAAGAGCATATGGTTTTAAATCAACAACATTTTGACATAATACACCGACTCCATGTCTGCCTTTAAGAGCTATTTGCAACATATCATTACTGGAATTCCAGCGTGTAGGTACATCCAATACAGGTGTCAGTTGCCGAGAATTATCAGTTGCTTCACACGTACTTCGGAACTTAAGTAAAAGTTGGTTTTTAAGTAAAGGTTTTCCAAGTGTTCACCTGCGAGACTCTCGTACGAGACACGAGACTCGAGACGAGACCATTAAAAGTCTCGTCTCGAGTCTCGTCTCGAAAACGAGACGAGACCATACGAGACTCTCGAAAACGAGACTCTCGTGGGAATCCCTAACCGAGGCATGGTAATGTCAGGCCCCACGTTGCGCGGAGTAATTAATTACAATCTCCCTATTGTAAAATTTTATTGATACGCCTTTTTTGTGTTCTGCAATGGTCCGTGTATGTTCTATTTGTAATTTTAATGACTTAAATTTTTTTGAGTTGTATGATTTGTATTGTATATTTTTTATTATTTGTATATTTTTTTGTGCTTTTGTTTGTTTTGTAAATGCTTTGTCGATGAAGCTATTTTGGCTTTTTGCACAATAAAGCGTCATTTGTTTGTTTTGTTTGTTTGTTAATTCTAGCCTTAGCTCTTGTAAAAGGTTTTCTTGATCTATGGCTTGATGAATATCAATGATAATATATAATGTTAGGAATATTATCTAAGATTACAGGAAAGTGTATTTTTATCCAAAATGCCCGTTTCATTTTTTAAACACGGTGTTATGAATTTATTTCTAAAAACAACGTTTTGTTTCATCTCGGTATAAACCCACCTAACCGAAGAATATAAGACATTAAAATAATAAAAAATAATGTCAACAAATTAATCTACTAACTAATACCATAATTATAAAAACCGGACTACAAAATAAAAAGTTATGAAACATTAAACTTAGTCAAATTTTTAGAGTAGCGAAATTTTGTGCCGGTGAGTAGTATTCTACAACTAAAATAATTAATTTTAAATGACAGGAATATTGTCTTACCTTACTACATCTCGGCAGTCCCCCTCCGTGCTTAACCTAAAGTACTCATCAGCCGGTCTGTTTTGACATAATTCTTCTGATGTGGGATCGGCATCAGCATCTTGGTCGTCTTGTGCAAAAGCTAAACAAATAAACGATACCATTTTAGTTGAGTTCTTTAATGCGGTTTTTAATTGGATTTAAACTAAACCAAGCGGATCTGATTGAAAGTAAGTAATAAGAGGATGATGATCTTTCTTTACGTAAGAACGAATTGTATAAGAGTTAAATATGATGCTTACACAGGGTGTCCAAGTTTCGTATGTTTTACAGGATGTCTTGCTCGGTGTTCGAGCGAAGGTGCAAAGATGCGGTTTTGACATTGCTACTTTTTTATGAAACTAAAGATGCTATACACAGATCTGGCATAACCCTATTAGTTTCTGAAATACTATATACAATATAATAAATTGTTGCATTTTTTGAGTCCCCTCGTAATCTATATGTCTTATAACTTATCGAGTAGATGAAAACTAGTCCTATAGAATTTATAAGGTAGTATTCAGTGGCTTAACTAGATTTTCGCTGGGATGAGCCAAAATTATGTTTTTTTAATGGGATACCCTGTATATTATATTCTCATTTAATTTGCCTTTTTATGGACTTTATAAACATATAATATCTTCTCTATATCTCTATACAATACATATTTTCATAAACAAGGTAAAAATGCATTATTAAAGAGAATGAAAAAAAATCATTTTTTTTTTCTTAAGAAGGAAGTCATTCTTAAGGAGTCTTATTGAGGAACTGCCACCGTGCTTATAGGACTTATAAAAAAAATAAAAAAAAATTCCGCGAGAAATATCTGAGCTAAATATTTTCTTTTCTAGAAATCCTTCAAAGATCGCATTGACATTTAAGAACGAGTACGTCTATCATCACCGAACGTCCAATTTACGAGTCTTATAATATTCAGGACTAGTTATTTTCGTTTTATTGCAACGCACTGTATATAGAAACTTGTTCTGTATCAAATCTTACACCGCAACTTTCGACTGACCCAGATTGGGTTTGTTTTTAAGTAACTTTTTTCACTTGCGCTTTCAATACGAAAATTGTGCATGGTACAAAGAGTACCTTGCTGTTTTACTGACCATGGAGTATGTCCCGTCGTTATCCAATAATATGGGCGATTTTGTAATAGAGGAATAGTACCAAATTAACAGAATGTACAGCAAAAAGTAACTATTTTCTTTAATTTATTTTAATAAACATACTACATCGCTACAACAGTCTAGTATCATTTCACTTAATAATATTTTATTACAGCATTGTGCAAACAAGAAACTACACACCTACCTACTTTCTTAAGGCTTGTTTCTTGGTTCCTTATAATTATTTCACTATGGTTATTAAGAGTAAATAATTACTAACATCGTGTGCTATTGTGTTTCTTAAGAAAGTGTATGAGATGCAACTACTTTATAAGAAATATCCACCGAAGCATGTAAGAAACAATGCAAGACTTTTATTTTTTCATTTTGACATTGATCTAATGCGTATTTCTGTAATATTTGTAAACGTCATTCTTCCTAAAGGAAAGTAAACAAAGCAAAATAGAGAAGTTAACTTTTTGGGTACACAGAAAAGTGATGATTGAGAGACTATCTCAATATAATTTGTCACACCTGGCATGTTTAAAAGCGGCAACACCGCCGGGCCACCATATGACTCCTTTTCGAATCCAGGTTCTGGTACGACCATGATGGAACAAATTATCGAAAGATAACAATTTAAAATTTAAAATTTGATTACAAGCTTTCACAAACGGAGTAAGCAAACAATTTAACCTCAAATTTATTATTCAACATGCACGTCAAATCAAATCGCAATGTTGTCAGTTGTTGGCTGGCGCACGTGTACTATAGATAAAGGAAACAGGTTTAGATTGAAAAGTGCCCATAAGGACAATGTAAATATTTTTTGGCGCTATTCCTACAACGGTCGCTCTCCAAAGCTTTTGATAATTTCGGTGCGGTTCGGCTTTTTTCGGAATTATGTCGTCAAATATTGTTTAGTCAAATTTATTATTACTTTCTCTTGATTTTTTAAATAAAATACAGTGTATACATGTATGAAATACCTCTGAAACATTTGGAACCAACGTTATGCCAAAGATCCACGATAGTTTTTGCAGTTCACAGTTCACACAGCTTTTTAAGTTTTTGATGCCACTTTATCACGGGTTTGAGTAAATAAAATTTAAATTAAACTCACAATATAGGAATAATTACTTTGAAAATGGACGCTTCAAACACTTTTAGTTATTTTTTTTTAATGAGGAGCAGTTTAAATTTTAAAAGATTTCATAATTTTTGAAGATTCTGACTTTGACAAGAGAAAATTATTTCTGTTCTTGTTTGCAGTTGTTCTTAGCAACCGCAAAACAATTATAAGCTTTGGCGGTAAGCTGAGCATTCCAGTTCAATTTTTTTCCTTTATCTATGTGTAATTCTAAGAATAACTCAAGATAATTTACTTTGTAAATCAGCTAATGAATATGAAAGTGTTTTGTTGCTGGAAAAAACGTTTGAATTACGTTTTTTTTTTGGAAATGTAAACACACCTTGACAATCCCAACACCGTTTAACGGCCCTGACCTTTCAATCTCGTGACGAACGTTTACTTATCGTTTATCAAAATGTCTGCGAATCTCCGAGAATATCTTCTTCATGTTTATTACTGATTTCCAATAGATCAAAAATCGCGCAAATACCAAGTGGCGTAACTCTCGAATGACATTTGCATATAGCGATTATCTGTGGTTGTGACGTAGCCAGGGTTGGGCAAGGTTGGTCTTTGGGGGGTGGAGGTTAGGCTGTTTATAACAGTCTTATTCAATTTACGTCTTGTAATTGCAGTGGAATGAATTAGCATACAAGGAGTGACACCGAGGTATTTGTGTTGTAAAAAATACAACAATTAATTTTGTTCCGATTTGAAATTCTAATTTTGAAAAAGGAGAAACGAGAATTTGATATATTTATTTAATTTATTAAATGAATTTTATTTAAGTTTCTGTTAAGTACATTATTAAATAAAATTAACGTAATCACTTTTTAGTTATGTAACAACACAGATGTTTTGCCAATCGGATAATGTCATTAAACCTCAAGATTATATTTAATTAAAATTAATTACTAGCATTTTTAACTTTAATTTTTATAAACTGTAGGTAAAAAACCATTGTAATTTGTCAATATAACGCTAGGTTACGCTTGTTTAAACTACACTGTGTCTAATAATTACTTATAACTGTCACGTCTCAAGCTTTTCTTGGTAGTACCGTTTTTTTTTCTAACTGCACTGACCAGTGGTGAATACATAATGTCCCTGAATATTTCGTAGCTGCTTTGTTTATTTATCATCATTATTTTTAAAGTCCTACTTCTAGTTTCATTGTGTTTTTGATAGGTACTTTGGAATAACATAATATTTTTAAAGATTTCTTTATTTTTGATCTAAATAAAAAAAAATTATGTGCAATGTGAAATTTGCAGGAAAACTTCAAACATTATAGTTCTCAAAACCTTTTAAATTTAGAGGTATTTTCGTAAATGTCATAAAACGAATCAAATCCCTCAAATGGCAATGGACAGGACACCTGACAAGAAGGATATCAGATGGACCATATAAATAAACCTAAGATTGGACAATGATATTAGGAATTTAGCAGGGATAACTTGGATCCACATATCCAACAATAGACAACAAAGGGCCCAACTACAAAGGGAGTATACAGGGTGCTACAAATTCGAGGTACGAGCATTGGTATCTCGGTAACCGTAATAGATACGAACATTGGGGCAAAGTTGCGTATTGAGATGTCATCAAAAAAGTTTTAAAAATTTTAGGGATTGCTAAGTTTTTTTGGAAAAACGGATTTTTTTGAAAATCAATTTTATTTTTTCCTGTCGTTAGTTTTTAGAAAATCGAAAAAGGAATTGATCATTCTCATAGCCACTTTATTAGGGCTACCTGATGATATTTTTAGATTTTCAAATTAACTGATAATTTGTAAGATACAGAGGCCAATATAATTTTTTTAAATACGAACCTGCATTTTTTATTTCAGATTTTGAAAGAACTCGGTTTCCTGAGTAGAATGATATGCCACACTTTATACTTTTTTTTTTGTTTTGGTTACCTTAACAGCAACAAAACTATTTAATTATTATTTACAATAATTTCAAGTCCGACCCTGGTTCCTTAAATTATTTAATCTGATTATATTTATCGCAACAATATTGATCAGCGCTAATTAACATTGAATGAGGAAAATCGAGCCAATTGGAATTTGAAATCTCAGTGTGCGATCTAATAATATGCATAATATTTCTAATGACCACCCTCCCTATTGCACAAATTTATTTTTCGTTCAATTTTATTTATAGCTCTTGAACTTTCTTCTTATACTTCAGAATGCATTTTGTCATTTTGTACTCTTTCTTTATTGTAAATGTTTAGATGAATTGATTTCACTTTTACAAATGACGTCAAGTAATGTAACCCCTAGGCGATAGGTCCAGAAACCTCGCTGGACATTATACTGCTCTACCATTTCCAATCCATCTTCCGGGAAAATGATTTGATTGTTTATATTATATGATATTTATATTAATTATTTTATTGCATTTGATTTTCCGTATTCAATGTTTTACTCCACGTCATTGTTAGGTTTGAATGCTCAATATTGTAACGATGAATAGATTAAATATTAAAAAAAACAGAGCCGGACTTGAAATTAGTTTAAATAAATTGTGTTCAAATCTCAAACCAAAAAAAATATTAAATGTGGCATATCATTGTACTCAGGAGACCGAGTTCTTTCAAAATCTGAGATAAAAAATGCAGGTCCGTATTTAAACAAAATAGTTGGCCTCTGTATCTCACAAATTATCAGCTAATTTGAAAATCTAAAAATACTACCAGATAGCCCTAATAGAGTGGCTATGAGAATGTGCAATTAGTTTTTTGATTTTCTAAAAAGTAACGACAGGAAAATATAAAATTGATTTTCAAAAAAATCAGTTTTTTCCAAAAAAAGTCAGCAATCCTTGAAATTTTTAAAACTTTTTTGATGGCATCTTGGAGAACATCCCAAAGCGCAACATTGCCCCAATTTAACCATGTTCGTATCTTTTACGGTTACCGAGATACCAATGCTCGTACCTCGAATTTGTAGCACCCTGTATAAATGTGTGAGGGAGGCTACACCATCATTGGAAATGATTGAATAAGCTGGAAATGATGATGATGATTTTATAATATATCAATATGTACAAAAATACAAAACAGAATTAAAAATTGACAATTTGAAATTCTGATCAAATTCTGTTCATCCGTAGGTGCATATTTATTTGTCACAAATCAAAAGTAAATCCGAAAAATATGTAAATTGTTTTTAACGCTTTACCTAATCAATTTGAATGGAGAACTTTTACTTTGGTAGTACCTGTATTTAATGTAACCACCAAACCTGTATCTCCAAGGTTAGTTCGACAGACAAGGGATTTCTTTGTGCAGTAGTAACTGAAATAAATGTCTTGGGAACGTGCAATTATTACAGAAAATATAAACTCGACAAGGCAATCTTCTTTTATAAGTACTGGAATTAATTGTTATACGAGCGAGAAAGAATGTATCTATACAAGGAAGAAAGTTTTTTACACCTACGGTTTATTTATTTATTTATATATTACATAAATACATAGATTTATGTCTATCTTTGCCAGGCTGTAAACTATTTTTTGATTTCTTGATATTTATTTTGTTTATGCTTTCCAAAAAAATATTTTATACGTTATGAACAATTTTAGAAATAATAAGACAATTGGTAGAAGTCAAAAACTATGAATTTTATTACAAATAAATATTAGAAATTATAAAAAAAACTGGTGTGCCCTCTCATTCTAAACTTTGGAAAGAGTAATTTCCATAAAAAAATTGAGAAATGATTGTCAAGGAAAATTATTTGTTGATGAATGATTAAAGTAGAGATTTAGTAGTAGTAAAGTATTTATGTATAACAGTATGCAGGATAACCCACTGTTAAGAAAAATATCAGCCTCCATATCAGATTTTCTCTCTTTCAGATTTTCATTTCAATTTGTTTTTAAAAATATACATGCAATAGTTGAGTATGTTTTAATAATGTTTAATAATAATGTTTTAAATATTATTTTATCCCAAGGTTGTATTTTATGTAATAAACTGCTCTTATATTCTTCTTTAGATCCGAATATTCTCTATAAAATTTCTGCTATGTACCATTTGTAATTATTTGTATATATACTCGGTATACAGTGGTCAGGTTAATATTAAATTTTCTACAAATTTAAAACTTCCCAAACAAAAAACAGCGTCAACCATGGCTATGAAATGGAAATCGCTTTCATTTATAATTAAAATTATATAGATAATATCATCGATGTTCACTTCCAAGCCAACTGGACGCCGTTTTTTTTTCGATCATACGGTATTTTATGTTAGTATTTTCTTCAGAACTAATCACAACGAAATAGGCTAAATTCCTTGGTGTATACAGGGTGAGTCAAAATTAGATACAACGTCAATCGTTCCAAAACAGAAAGTTAGTGAATAAATACCGATTTCGGATATAAAAAATAATTATCAAGGCATGCAGTTGCATAAAGATTACGATCATTTATGTCATAAAATACAGGGTGTCAAAATTGAAACGGTCGGTGGTGGAGAAAAAGTCTATATATTGTTTTGACTCACCCTGTATATACGATGCAATATAAAGTAATTTAGCCCTGAAAAAACACTATTATAATACCATGCGATCGAAAAAAAAATGGCGTCAAAGACAGCTGGGGAATGACAATTAATGATAATTTTGGCGAAGTCAAGCCCTAGACATCATTACTTGACCGGTACTATTTTACATCAATTTTGTACTGTTTTATGTCAATTTTTAGTTAATGACGTTTAGAGATTGACCTCGCCAAAATTTTCATCGATTGTTATTCTCAGTCGTATTTGACGCCTTTTTTAACTAACTAGCATATATATAATAAATAAATAAATGCCTTTATTGTCAAAAAAATTTTCAATTTGTAGACAAAGGTAAATTAACAAACAAAGTAAAAAAAAACAAGGTACACAAACAAACAAACAAAAGATAATACAAAACATTATACAAATAATATTGTCAGTCTTACTGTTAAAATAAACATTTATAAATGTTTACAAGCATATTATATACTCAGCATATTAAAAAAAAATAAAGAATTTGCCAGTTTATATTTTGGAACAGAACAGTAAAATAAATAATTGATAAACGTTAATTATACACTATGATATTATAGCACTTTTTGGTAAATCCACTCATCAAAAATAATTATAGTTCATTCAAAAAAAAGTAACTTTAATGTAGAAATATAATTGAACCACACTGTATATTCATAAAAATAAATTTAAAACAATTTTTTTTGCCTCTATTTTTTTTAACGGATAAAAAAACTTGAACACCCTGTAGATAAACCAAGTCTTATTTAAAAAAAATACTTTCCTGTGAATTTTGATTTTATTTGCATTAACATATTTTTGTGACCTTGAAAGAAAGATCATCATCCTGTTCTTACAAATCTAAACAACCCAAGAGTCCCAAAAAACACGAAATGTCAAAAAAATACTGTGAAGGTCAAAAGTGTACTCACCTACGCCGAACAATAGAAAGCACAGCCAGATTATTTTCGTATCCATGACGATGACGGCTCGGTCACTAGCCAAGGAGTGACTTGGCTCCCGTTAAATATATTTATATTGCGTGGTACTTCTTGAGTGCGCACGCGCACTTGGCTACTTCTTCGTCTTGTCACTTTCACCTGATCAAACGCACTGCTGACTATCAACTGGGCGGTTTGCCAATAGGTGACTCTACTTATACGTAATGATGTTTTTGGTGTACGGTACTGCCGAAGAAAAACCAACCAAGAAGGCGACTGGTAGTACTTACAATGGTAGAAAGTCAGTGGCGTCGAGAATTGCAGATTGAAATAATACAAGTAGAGAAAGTATACTATATACGCTTAGGTAAACACAGTATGTGACATACTGCAATAAATTTTGATGCAGTGTGTTTTTTCCTTGTTATTATATGGTCCTGTGAATAATTGTATTTGGGCTTACGTAACAAACTGTTTTGTTTTTCTTGAATATTCAATATGGGAATCTTATCTTAAATGTCTACTGTTTAAAGCATATTATATTGCTTCCGTATCAGAGATATAAAGATATGGAGAATGACCATGAAAAATAGGTATACTTAAGATATGTAATAGAATAATATCAAGCTTCGTAAAATTTTATCTTTTTTGGTTTGATATTCTAAGATGGGACCATTTCAATTTTGAAGGTATCAGTCGACATAGGCAAACGAATTTTAAAAGGCCTAAGCAAATAATCTATTGATATTAAAAGACACATAATCTCTCTAAGGCGCGATCTCTTCAGTTATAAATAAATAACTTTTATCTAACAAATAACCATCTAAATGATAAACAATCTAGAGCCTGATATCTATAGGATATAACATTTGGGTATTTTCATACAAAATAATCCAATAAATAACAATTTGGAGGACGGCCGCCTACGGACCGGTAGACACTCCGTAGAGAAAGTGTTGCCAATATAAGATATCTGAAATTGAGATGGTTATATATGAAAAGTCGATACAAGAGACAGAGACAGACACTCGGAATTTCAAATCGTTAGATTAAAAAGTGAGGTTATTGTTCAGTTGTCAAAAGATCGTCAAAATGAAAATAAAAACAATAAAATTCAACTAATAGCTATTTATGTAACTAGTACCTAAAATGATGTTTTTTAGGACGAATCATTACTGTTTGCGGACGAGGCGTTAGCCGAGTCCGAAATAGTAGATGAGTCCTAAAAAACATAATTTAGGTACGTGTTACATACACTATTTTTTGTCATACGCTTTTTACAGTTTTTTAGAACGCATATTTGCAAATTTTCCATATTTGAAATTATAATGTTTGAAAAAGTTGGCTTATAAATTCATATCTTAGTAACGAGTTTGTTTATTTCATCGCATTTTGACATGTCGAAAATTTCGAATGACAAAATAAAACAACCAAATAACGAATTTAGACATTTTAGTCCATAAAGGTTGCCATGACGACCTTTACGGCCTAGGCCGAAAAAGAAACATTTTACGGACTGAAATGAGTCCTGTAAATAATGAAAATAAAAACAATAAAATTCAACTAAAATATATTTTGTGTTCAACTCCCAACTAGTCCTATTATGGTATAGGCTATTTAAATTTACCTTTATGGAAAAAGGGAAAGATAATTCAATTTCAGCAGTGGTGGTGGTGCAATAGATCTTTTGATGGAATGCGATTTATAAGAAATTAAAACAAGAAAAAATAATCTGTAAGTAATTTATAGTTTAATTACATGATATTACTGTTATATTTATTATATTAACATTTTAGTACAATTGATAATAGAAAATATGGAAGAAGCTGGTGAAGTGCAAGCAGAGATTTATAAACCAATCCTAAAACCACCATCTGGTAAGTTATTAATATTGAAAATTAAAAATAGCATAAGACTGTTAGTAATAACAAATATGTTGTTCTAGGGCTTCTCATAGTAAATAAATAGGTAGGATAGCATTAATGATAGTAATTAAGGTGAGTTTTTATTTTATAAAATAGATAAATGCACTTATACTTTTGTCTTAATAATAATAAATGAATAGTACCTATAATAATTGTTACATTTACACATTATAGGTACAAATTATTTAATAAAAAAAATTAAATAAAAACAATTTTGTCGTATTACTTTTATTTTTAAGAATTCCAAGTGATGGAACTTCTCTCGGGAATGCTCTTGTCTAAACACAGTTGAACTAACTGGAATTCAAGGGACCACAATACAGATGTTTTAGCAAGGTTTAGCTAGAGAGTTACTTAAAAAACAGCATGGAGAGAGTCATTTCATATGTAAATTTATATGGGAAATATCATCGATCATCATTTCCCAGCCAACTGGACGCTGTTTTTTTTTCGATCATACGGTATAAGGTACATAGTGCAAGAAATTAAACTAAAATTGTAACACAAAAGAAATAAAAGCAAATGTGAGTTGAATAACAGGCTTTATAAGGTTCCTGTTATAATATTAATGAATTAAGATATGCGAATTAAAAATGAAATAAATAGTTTGATTTAAAAAGTTTTATTTATTTTTTACCTACTTTAGAGTTTTATTAGAAACTAGTTGAAGCCTGGCGCATCCGCCACGAGATCAGGAAAAAGAAATACTTCTTATTTTTTTTAATTAAATGAAAAACAAAAAATCCGGCGACGACAGTTTTTAGAAGAGCCATTTAGCTATCTTTTAGTAAAAAAAAGCAACTTTCTAGAGCAAGTCGTTACTTCAGTAGAGATGACACAGATAAACATTAGCATTTTATATAATATGTAGTAATGGTTTATAATTGAAAGGATTTAAATAAAATAATTTATAAATTACTGTTTTATCACTATTATCCTAACTTAATGCATTCTCTTTGTTCTGATGCTCTAACAAAACAGAGACTCTTTTTATTTTGTAACAGTCCTTATAAAGTCCGGCACTAGCAACAATAGTTTTTTGCACCATTTAAATGTGTTTATTGGTGTTTATACCCCATACGTTCTAAAATGATTATAGCCTACGTACTCAGAATAGGTAAGTCTTTTCCAAATAATCTAAATTCGAATTTATTGGAATAAACGAAATCTTCAATAATAACAATGTCTTGGTTATGTTAAGCAATTTTGTCAAATATCAAATAAAATCAATATATCCTCATGCCTTTGCTCATGCGTCAAATTTTTATCCGACAAATAAAGCACTATTTGGCAGTTCGGGCGCCAGATAGGATATCTGGGAGATAAGTTTAATTTATCTAATAGATACTGTTATCTATAGGTGAAGATACACGTTTTTCTGCTATCCGTCAAATAAAATATATCTGGCAGATTATAACACGCTATTCGTACCTGAAAACACCGGGGGTAAAAGTACCCATATTTCCTGAGAAACTAACCAAGCAAATAATACAATCTTCTAAATATTTTAAAGTCACATAAACGAGGGTAAAGTAGAACAAACATTCATCCCTTATTATCAAAACTCTATTTGAGTGGTACCAGTTATGTACCCTATGGATATCTCAAAATAAACAACGCAGAAAAAGCACGTGGGCATGCTTACGGAAATAAGTAAAATTAAAACATCCCCTTGCTAGAGGTTTTACATTTAAAATTAAAAGTATTAAACATATGTTTTAAAATCAGAATCCAAATGTTCACGAGATGAATGTCTGAAAATGATAGAAATAGGATTATCTCTTTTTCCGTTCCTAGAGTTAAATAGAAATAGACAAACGAATGAAGAAATAAAGATTTCATTTCTAGGCGGTTTTTTTAAGGTAATCCTATGTCACGATATCATTTGTATTAGTTAAGGTAGATTATGAATGTTTTTCAGCAAATTGGTAAAAGAGTAAGATTTACACGGAAGGGTTTGGAATTTACAATT